GTGAAGCATGCGAGAACTCATCCAAATGCCTTGACATCAGATGAATTGGACAAATTTCTCAAGTCAAACAGGGAGCCAAAGGACTTTGCAGGATGGTACGTCATTTGTAATTCAAAATTATTCTCTTAGTTTTATATTCTGATCAAGCCTTGAACATATCGATTGAATTGGAGGTTAGCAGGCTTTACGGAGTGGAAAATCCTATATCTACTTTGCAAAGATGACCATGGCTTGCTGAAGAAAGATGTAGTTAGAGCTGCCTACGATGGAAGCCTGTTTGAACGAATGGCGAATGAGAAAGAATCTAAGAAGAAAGCCTAATCTTTGATACACTGGTGACTGTGCATATGATTTGTTTACCTAGAATAATATTCTTTTTTGCAGTGTTTCTTCTGACTAATGACTAATGACTAACAACCACAACAATTTCAAGAATACAAAGTTTTTCCATCAATCGTAAGATAAGTCTAACAACTACAATAATTTCACGAATACAAATTTTTTCCATCAATCGTAAGACAAGTCCTGTTAGGGTGATATTTTCATTTTGAACTATGATTGAGTGTTTTAGTTCCCTCGCCACTTTCATTCGTCATCCACAAGCACAAACTCTTCCAAATGCGATATGATGAATCTTATACTAGTGCTCATACCATAAAATTTGAGATAGCAATGATGATCATTTGCCACAATTGATAGAGGTCAAATAACTTAATTTGTTCCACCTCAAAAGTTATTTTCAGCTACATAGGTACATCAAGTAGAAGTAATGGCCTATTTGTCTTCAATGAATCTCCTCTCATACCCGATTTGTCCCCGTTGTTCTCCATTCTCATTGAATCGGATGATGAGCATGTCTTGTTAGCAAGTGGTAGGAGAATAGTTTCACCAATTCCTTTTTCCATCTTGGATGACGTTTCAGGCCAATCTTAGTCATTGAACCATGAAGTTGATGATGTGTTCGACTATATGGTTCTGTACGAAAATGACTTCGACAATGTGAGTTGATTCCTAATGTTCCACAACCCGAGGTTATTATCATAAACTTGGACGATGAGGAGGAAGCTAGTGGGAACAAAAATTCAAATGTGGACGATGCTTGAAGCGGGCGAACAATGCTTATGTTATCATATTTCAATTTTTAAAATTTGTCAAATATTATGTAGTAATGTCTAACGTAATATTGTATGTCGATCGATCGTTATGCCAGATATTTTGTCTAATTTACTACTTAACAACGAACTGTTGAGAATTGCAGAGATTATTTGTCGGAACCAACGGTTGAAATGTCGGCAGTTAATAAAATTGTATGTTCTGGAAGAAGTGGAACGATGTTTGTACATGAATAAAAGCTGCAACGGTAATAGCAGGATAATGATAATATAACATAAAATGACGAACATCATCATTGTAATATATAAAATACAACTCCAGTCCTTAAATATCATTCCACTTTACGTGCTTTATGTTGGAACGGGGTTCGAACATGTTGCCCGATTGTGCCCAATTCCGTCCACACCGAGTGATTTCCTGATTCATATGCTAGACTTAGATTTGGATTGCTTACTAAACATGGATGGTCTACTTGGAGGATGACATTCACTCAATGAAATACGATGAATCTCAAATTATTATTGATACCTGAAAATTTAAGAAAGCAATGATAAGCATTCTACACAATTAATATATCAAATTTTATTAGCATGGAAGTGACAACTACAAATAAATTATATCAAAAAATAACAAACCAGTGAAAATAACAATTTAAATGTGTTTTTCGATATTTACTAAGTACCGAGTTCAACATTTGAACGTCAGTCTCCACAGTTTTTCGATAGTTCAACTATTGATATTTACGATTAGCACATAAGGAGTATCGCTTAAATGGTGTGATTGGAATACATTCTTCATAGCATTAAGTGTGTTCATAAATGCTCAACTATCTTCTTGACAAAATCTTGACAAATAATTTACTTAAATAATTTACACAAGTCTCATGCGTTCAATGGCATTAAATGCATTAATGAGCATTAAATTCACCCAAAAGGGTATCCCCAAAGGTTATTTGGACATTTTATAGCCAAAAAGTGACTTTTTGAGCCTCCTTTATAAAAGTAACAATTTTTTGTGCACTCTTGTAAAGACATTAATATAATTAATGATTCTACACGTGAAATTATTATGTAGATTGTCTAAGGCCAATACAATGAAAATTCTAAGTTAAGGGTCGATTATTGAAAATAGGTGTTTAATGAAGGGCATTGCACTAATCATGGCAAGAAAAAAAATTATCTTATCTGTGAAACATCTTTTCATAGCTTTTACGTCTCGAGTGATTAAATCTGCAAGAGTATTTGAAACTTGATATCCTATAATCATCTGACTTGAGAGTCATTAGCCAAAAGCTCACTACATAGGTCATTTAAATGAAGAGAAGTGCGCACATAAGAATTGATAAAAAAAGAAAAAAAAAAAACGTACTTCATACATTGATTAAGCCCCGATCATATGTTTGAAAAAACTAGAAATTTAATAAGTGATAATTAGCCAAGTTAAGTCTTAGAGGTTGAATCAGTCAAATATATATAAGAATCCTTAGTTGTTGAAGTGTTTAACTTCTACTAGTGACATCTATCCATGCTAGAGAGAGTGAGGACTAGGATCATCTGAAATTCAGCCTAGGATCACACTTTGGAAAAATGAGTGAAAATATTAAATTTGGGGTGTGTATCTCACAAGTGAAGAAATGAGACATTTGACCAATGAGGGTCGAGAATTGAACCAAGCATGTGTTTATGATATTTTACATAAGTCTTCACACACATGTCGAGTTTTACATTGAATAGGTGGAGATTGATTCTGCTATGCAATTTTGAAATTATTCTTTGTATTGATGTAGAAATTTTAATCTTGAGACCAACGACATACTATCTGACCAATTGTGTTTTGAGTTAGGCTATAGTTCGTATGATGACAAACAAATATTCAAGTTTGATAAGTTTCTTTGACACACTTATTTGGGCCTTTAAATAAGAATATTTATTGGTTATTTTAATAAATTATGGCTTAATTCTATGTACATTATGATTTCTAGTGCAAATCTGTACAAATGGCAGAATTGGATAATATAGTGAAAATGACTCAATAATAAGAGATCCAAAGTTCGGAAACTAAAGTACAAATACTCAAAAGTTATATCGCACCTCAAGGTGACAACTAGAGATGTGCAATTGGACTAGAAAAGAAGTCAGTGGGGTAAAATATAGTCAAAATATTGTCATACATCAATTTTTAGCTGAAAAATTTATGCTCCAAATTTTCAGCCTCAAATTGAGACCCATATTTGACATAGTAAATGTTTGAATTGAAAAAATTCTAGAAGAATTGTATATCTTTAAGTTATATTTCCAATGCACTTGACCTCTTCCTGGATCGTCTGAAGCCAAATTGGCCTTAGAGGTGGACGCTCCCACCTATAACTATTGCCTAGTTCAACTTCAGAAGGATTTTGTCCGAACAATGGACAATAGGACAGATGTGGTGTGGAAAGATTATGGTAGATCATGATTTACAGGAGCAAAGATCGTGATTGTTTGTCATCAAACTAACCTAATGCTTGAAGGGAAATCTATAAATAGTCATATGCTATTACGACTTGTATTTGGCTCAAGGAAATTTGCAATGTGGTAGCACTAACGCCACAATTTTATTTTGTTGCATTGTTTTTTAATTGTAATAAATGTTATTTACATTTATTTATTGTCTCATTTATGTCCTAATAAATTTTTTCCGGCGTATTCTCATCTTCAATCTTGCATTAATTAACACATTTTATTCCTAATTATGGCCGTACCTAAATATTTTGTTAGTATCCTTTGAAATTAAGGGTAAATGTGGCCATCCACTTATATATATATATATACCAAAGAGAGAGGGGGGTCCTGGATTGAGAGGGAGAAATCCTGGATTGAAAGGCTGTTGAAAAAGGTTGCTGTTATAAGAATCCTACTCAGCACTTTTCTTAATTATAATATTTTTATCTTTTGATAAAATAATATTTCGTTTTT